GCTACCATGCCTGGCTAATTTTTTGAATTATTGTAGAGATGAGGTCTCGCCAAGTTGCACAGGCGGGTCTCGAACCCGTGGGCTCAGGCAATCCACTCACCTCAGCCTCCCAAGGCGCGAGATTACAGGCTGAGCCACCGAGCCTGGCTCTCTTTTTCTTATATAAAACAATTCTGCTCATTCTTCCACAGAAACAATTTTGCCTGTGACTTTCAACTTTTGTTTTTTTAGAGGCATGGTCTCATTCTGTCTCCTAGGATGGAGTGCAGTGGAACGGTCCTAGATTACGGCAGCCTTGATCTCCTGGACTCAAGTGATCCTCTTGCCTCAGCCTCCCAAGTAGATGGGACCATAGGTGTGCTTCACCATGCTCAGCTAATTTTTGTATTTTTTGTAGAGATGAGGTTTTGCCATGTTGTTCAGGCTGGTTTTGAACTCCTGGCCTCAAGAGATCCTCCGATCTTGGCCTCCCAAAGTACTGGGATTATGGATGTGGACCATCGTGTCTGTCCTGCTTATGTTCTCATTTTGTCTTTCACTTTTTAGTCTGTGATAAATTGATTATTATCCATGGACTAGAGGGGAATGCAATGCATTTTTCAGATTAGAACTAGTTTGCCTTGCCCCTTATTTTAAAGTGCTTGTAATTTTTTCCACTACTCTAGAGTGCCTACTTTATTATTAATTAACTTTTCATATAAATGCTGGCCTACTCAAGCCTATTCCATTCCCTTGGTCTATTTGTTTATCTGCCTTCTAGCACTATTCTGTTGTGAATATTGTAGTTTGAAAATCCTTGATGTATGTTAGACAAGCCATCACCTTGTTGTTCAGAAGACTTTGACAATTATTAAACATTGAGTATTCCTATTAAGTTTGGAAAAGCAGTTTTTATTGACTACTGAAAAGTCTGTTTGGGGGATTTATGGAATTTTATAAGGATATCATTTGGAAGAAGTGACATCTTTGTGACATTAAGTTCTTTTGAAGAAAACATGATATCTTTCCACTTATTCCTTTCTGCTTTGACATTACCAAGTACATTTAATATTGTTCCATTAGTACTTTTCAATATTGATCATTTATCTTATTTACTACTTGATTAAATTTGGTCTATAGTCAACTACTTGCAAGATTCCCAACATACTTTCTTAGTGTAATCATATGGGATAGGCACAATTTCCCAAGGAACTAGTTATGACCATGCATGTGAAAAACTGTCTGCCATTAGAGAATCAGTGCCAGAGGGTTTTCGGGGGCTGATCCCCTAGGCACTGCTTCAAGTATGGAAGAAAATAGTAGACTTTCAGAGGGAAAACAGGAGCTTAGCAAACACAATCGTTTGCATACACTGTTCAGCCACTCTATTACATAGTTTGAGGTCTCTCCTCAAATCTAAGTTGCCCGGTACCAGCAAAGGTCAAACTTTGTGAACAGGCATTTTGAAGGATAAGTAGTCTTAGGACTGCTAATATGAACTCTTCTGAATCGTGGGTAATAGGACTTTCTTATGAAAGATAGTAAAGATCCACTCTGTAAAGAGAAATCAGGGATGGTCAAGCAGCACAACTTACTCTCTGGATCCACCAGTGAGGGTATTCCTACTCTGCTGTTGCCTTCCTGAGTAATTTAGTTCTAACACCAGAACTGCTGTATGGGAGGAAGTGACTGTGGACAGAGAATTTGATGATGAAGTCATAGAATAACTCTTTGGAGACCGCAGCATCTTGTGAGCATTTTACGTATTCATTATAGGTCCATGACTGGGTGTGATGGCTCACATCTGCAATCCCAGTCCTTTAGATGGCCAAGGCAGGGAATTGTTTGAGTCCAGGGCTGTGAGAGTAGCATGTGCAATATAGCAAGACCTCATGTCTATAAACAGACAGAAACAGACAAACAAACAAATCAAAGGTCCCCAGTGCTGTCAGTCTTACTCATTCTGCTCCACACATGTGGGATGTTTCAGGACTCAGTGACTTTTGAGGATGTGGATGTGAACTTCACGGAGGAGGAATGGGTTTTGCTTGATTTTTCCCAGAAGAATCTCTACAGAGATGTGATGCTGGAAACCGTCAGCAATCTGACCTCTGTAGGTAAGGGTAACAACATTTCTTCACTTAGTCAATTAGAGTAGAAGTGTTTTTTGGTCATCAGTGCTGTTCTGTGTTTTGAGTGTGGAAAAGTAATACTTTGGTGAGTAAATCAGGCATGATGGGCTGGGCATAGTAGCTTGCACCCATAACCTCAGTGCTTTGGGAGGCCAGGGAAGGAGGATCACTTGAAGCCAGGAGTTTCAGACCAGCCTGAAAAACATAACATGACCCTGCCTCTGACACACACACACACACACACACACACACACACACACACACACACACACACACACATTAACTGTGTGTGGTAGCATGCACCTTTGGTGCCAGCAATGCCAGAAGCTGAGGTGGGAGGATTGCTTCAGCTTAGAAGTTCAAGGTTGCAGTGAGCTAAGATTGTGTCTCTGTAGTCTAGCATGCATGACAGAGAAAACTACATGTCAAAAAAAAAAAAAAGAAAGTAAGAAAAGACAAAAACAGATGTGGTAGCAGTGTACGATGAACCTGGAACCTAGTCATTTTTCTATAATTTTTAATTCATAATGATTTTTCTGGGTCTACATTTTAGGAAACCAACTGGAATACCAAAGCATTGAAAACCATCACCAAAATCCTGGGAGAATGCTAAGGTAATTTATACTCACAAGAGGAAGCAATGCCCTTTGAGGCAGGGAACTGGTTTTGTGGAAGACAGTTTTTCCACAGACTGAGATGGGTGGGGAGGGATGGTTTTGGGATGATTCAAGTGCATAACATTTATTGTATACTTTATTTCTGTTATTATTACATTGTAATATAAAATGAAATAATTATACAACTCATCATTAAAAAGAGAGGTGTGGACTGAAGTGGTAAATAAAACAATGGGCAGGCCAGGCACAGACTAAAATAACTGTCAGATTCTGACTTAAAAGCCAGCCATCAGATGCAGCTGTACAGTTTAAGTACATCAGCTCACTTGCAATTCACTGATAGGGTTTTGATAGGAATCTGCAAGCAATTGATTTATTGTCTCTGTGCAGTGAAACCTCACTCCTAATGTTAACCTGTATTTGCAGCTGCTCCCCAGTGCTAGCATTATCACCTCAGCCCCACCTCAGATCATCAGGCATTTGATTCTCATAAGGCGCGAGCAACCTAGATCCCTTGCATGCGCAGTTCACAACAGGGTTCCTGCTCCTATGAGAATCCAGTGCAGCTGCTCATCTGACAGGAGGCAGATCTCAGGCAGTCATGCCAGTGATGGGGAGCAGTTGTAAATACAGATGAAACTTGGCTTGCTTGCCTGCTACTCATCTGCTGTGTGGCCTGGTTCCTAACAGACCATGGACTGGTACCAGCAGCAGTCTGTGGCCTGGGAGTTGGGGACCTCTGCTTTGAGGGATTTTTAACATGTCATGAAATTTGCAAAAACAAGCAAACGAAACAAATATGTACAACTTAAAATTTTTTATTTATTATTAGATAATTTTCACCAAAAATATATACTGCTCCCTGGCACTGTATATATCAGTGAACTGCAGGTGAGCTTATGTACTTAATTTTCACCAAAACATATGTAACATGGATGGTCAGTGTTTACAGAACAGTTCTGTTGGAAACAGTACTAAAAAACTGCATATATGAATGTTATATTTTTATCATAGTTAATGGGGAAGCTGTGTTGCAGATCAATCCATTTACTTTCCAATGATTTAGACATGGCAGAAAACCTTCACTTCCTCTGATTTTGGTAACAACGTAAGTCCAAGAACTACCAGTAAATGGAAATATTAATAATCTAGCCATTAATAATGTGTTTGTCATTTTTTACAGAAATTGTATGGCAGAAATAGTCTATGCAAGTGAAGAAGGTAGTCAGAATATTCCTACTGGAATAAAATCATGCAAATGTAGTGTGTGTGGGGAAATGTTCATATGTCATTTATCCCTTAACAGGCACATCAGAGCTCACCCTGGACACAAACCAAATGAGTGTGGTGAGAAATCTGGAGAGAAGCCCTGTAAATGTAAACAACGTTGGAAAGCCTTCATTTCTGTCAAAAGTGGTCGAAGACACATGGTAACACACACTGGAAATGTACCTTATAAGTGCAAGTTATGTGGGGAAGGCTTTGATTTTCCCAGTTCACTTCGAAGACATAAAAGGACTCACACTGGACAGAAGCCCTGTAAATGTAAAGACTTTGTTAAAGCCTTCAGTTTTTCTAGTTACTTTCAAATACATGAGAAAACTCAAACTCGAGCAAAATGCTATGAATGTAAACAATGTGGAAAAACCTTTGGTTATCCCAGTGCCTGTCAAATACATGTTAGAACTCACACTGGAGAAAAACCTTATGAATGTAAACAGTGTGGTAAAGCATTCATTTCTTTCACTTACCGTCGAACACATGAAATCAGAACTCATACCCGAGAGACAGCCTGTGAGTGTAAGGAATGTGGGAAAACATTCAGTTGTTCTAGTTCCCTTCGAAGACACGAAAAATCTCATACCGGAGGAAAACTTTATGAATGCAAAACATGTGGCAAAGGCTTTAAATGTTCTAGTTCTCGACGGATACATGAAAGAATTCATACTGGAGAGAAACCTTATGAATGTAAGAAATGTGGTAAAGCCTTCAATTATTCTAGTTGCTTTCAAAGACATAAAAGAACTCATACTGGAGAAAAACCCTATGAATGTAAAAGGTGTGGAAAGGCCTATTTGTTGTCTGCTTCCCTTCGAATTCACGAAAGAACTCACACTGGAGAAAAACCCTATGAATGTAAGGAGTGTGGGAAAGTATTCAGTCATGGAAGTTGTCTCAGAGCACACAAAAAGACTCATGCTAGGGAGAAGCTCTCCTAATGTAAGAAATGGTAAAGCACACAGTTTTCCCAGTAGCCTCAGGAAAGGACAGACTGGCAAAAAGTCCTGTGAATGTACAGGATGTGACAGTGCCTTCATTTCTCTCATATCCAATCAGAGACATATGTCAGTGCACACCGGAGCTGGCCCTTAGAAAATATAAGAATGCACACTGGCCAGGCATGGTGGCTCATGCCTGTAATCCCAGCATTTGGGGAGGTAGCGGCAGGAGGATCGCGAGTCCAGGAGTTGGAGACCAGCCTACGCCACATAATGAGACCTCATCTCTACAAAAAAACTAAAAAATTAGCTGGGCGTGGTGGCACATACCTGTAGTCCCAGCTATCTGGGAGGTTGAAGTGAATGATCACCTGAGTCCAGAAGGTCGAGAATGTGCTTGCTTTAAAAATTATGTGGAAACATCCATTGTAAAGAAATCCTGTCAGCATAAGTAACATGGAAATCCTGATACAATTAATTACTGTATAATGCTCCAAAACGTAACATAAATAAAATATTATACAAATTATACATATATTCTGTTTATGAGGGGTCATTTGTACAGAGGATCTCTCTGTGGATTTTCCTTCTTTTGAAAGGAAACATTGTGGTGACAATTTTGTAGGTATTTTAAGCAAGTGTTTTTTTCCTAAGTCAGCTAATATCATTTTTCTGTATATACTTTAATGTATGTTTGATCCATGGGTGAATTGACATGTATTGCTAATATGTAGGTAGGTTTAATTTTGTTTTTTTTTGGAGTCTCACTCCATTGCCCAGGCTGGAGTGCAGTGGCGCACTCAGAGCCACCCCAGCATTGACATGCTGGGCTCAGGTGATCCTTCTGCCTCAGCCTTCCAAGTAGCCGGAACTACAGGCTTGCTCTACCACACCTGGCTAATTTTTTGATTTATTATAGAGATGAGGTCTCACCAAGTTGCCCAGGCTGTTCTCAAACCTGTGTGCTCAGGTAGTCCCCTCACCTCAGCCTCCCAAAGTGCTGGGATTATAGGCTTGAGCACCCAGCCTGTTGAATTTTTATGTAGTGTTATTGTTCTGTCATTAACGGGCCCCTGAAAAATGAGTCTTTGTTAATTGATGAGATTTTTTTACTGGCCTTATGTGGCAGGTTCTGGATCTTCCTCACCCATTGTGTATGCCTCACGTTTATTACTGGAAAAAATGACCTTTTTGGGGGGCATGACAATGTTTATTTCATTTTCTTTGCTAATAAGTTGGTATCAATCTGTAAGTATGTAAAGTTTATCCATAGAGTATCATTTTGTGAATTATTTTCATTTGTTGTGCTTACTCTTTGTCATTATCTCTGGCTGTTATTTGGATGGTTCATTTAGAATGAATGACAAACCTATGGTATGACTATATGTTGTGTCTAATCTGAGGAAGAAAGCATCCAGTCTCACCAACAAGTATGGCATTAGCTGTGGCTTTTTCATAAATGCCTTAAAGCAGTTTTAGGAAGTTTCCATCTGTTTGCTATTTATTGGTTTGTCGTGAAAGGGTGTTGAACTTGGATAAATGTTTATCAAGATACTTTGCCTGGCTAGGCTTGGTTGCTCAGCCTGTAATCCCAGCACTTTGGGAGGCTGAGGCAAGTGGATCGCCTGAGCTCGCGGGTTCGAGACCAGCAACTTGGTGAGACCTCATCCTCTACAATAAATAAAAAATTAGCCAGTCATGGTAGCACGTGCCTGTAGTTCCAGCTACTTGGAAGACTGAGGAGGAAGGATCACCAGAGTCCAGCAGGTCAATGCTGGGGTGGCTGTGAGTGTGCCATTACACTCCAGCCTGGGTGACAGAGTGAGACTCCAACTCAAAAAAACAAAAAAAAGATCCTTTGCCCATTAAAAAAAAATGTGTTTTTGCATTATAGTTTTTGTTTTGAGTTGGAGCCTCACTCTGTTACTCAGGCTGGAGTACAGTGGCGTGATCATGGTTTACCATAACCTTGACTTCTTAGGCTCAGGCAATCCTTCTGCTTCAGTCTCCTGGATAGCTGGGACTACAAGTGCATGCCACCATGCCCAACTAATTTATTTTTTTGTAGAGACAAGGTCGTGCTATGTTGTCCAGGGTGGTCTCAGACTACTGGGATCAAGTAATCCTCCCACCTCAGTCTTCCAAAGTGCTGGTATTACAGGCATGAGCCACCATGCCTGGCCATTATTGTATATTCTTGATTCATGTTCCTCACTAGATAATGTGATTTCAAGAATTTTCTTCCACTTCATAGGTTGTCTTTTTACTTTTTTTTTGTTTGTGAGAGACATGGTCTTACTCTGTTGCTCAGGCTGAATTGCAGTGGTGCAGTCATAACTCACTTTAACCTCAAACTCCTGGGCTCAAGTGATCCTCCTGCTTCAGTCTCCTGCGTACTAGGTCTAGTAGTGTATGCCACCACACCCAGCAATTTTTTTTTTGTGTGTGTGTGTGTGTAGAGATAGGATCTCAATATGTTTTTCAGGCTGGTCTCAAACTCCTGGCCTTACGTGACCTTGTCTTGGGCTCGTCAAAGAGGTGAGATTACAAGTGTGAGCCACAATGGCTTTCATTACAAGTTTTTCATTTTGATAAAGTCCAAAGTACCTATTTTTCTTTGTTGTTTGTTCTTTTGGTATCATACCTAAAAATACTTTCCCAAATCCATGATCATGAAAAATGTCCCATTTTTCTAAGAGCAGTGTAGTTTTACTTTTACTTTTGTTGAGTTCTCGGATTCATTTTTGGTAGATTTTTGTAAATGATGTGCGGCCATGATCCAAGTACTCTTGCACATGACCATCCAATGGTCCCAGAACTATGTGTTGGAAAGAACACTCTTTCTTAATTGAATGATCTTGTTGTGTTTTCTATTTAACTGTATTGTCTAATATCTGCCTTTCTTCCCTACAATGTGAGCAACATGAGGACAGAGACTTTCTATTTTTCATTACTCTGTTTTCAACCCAATTACAGTGGGTGAAGCTGTCACTGGCCTCACATGACTTCTTTCCCAGTCATGGGCTGCTTTCCTACCACAAGGATAACACCCAATGCTTATGGCCAAATGAAGGGACATTGCTGGTGACTAAATATACTGTGAAAACAATGGTTTAATTTTGGGGAGAGAAGCCCCTGACAACTTCCCTCAGTTCTCCACTAAGAAGTGTTTTTGGTGAAATAAGATGGGAAGAGGGGCAGTAATGTGAAGGTTCTCCATTGTCATCCAAGGGGATTTCTTCTTGGTCACAAATTCTCCCCAGAGCACCCTGCAGTGCAAGAAAACCACATCTGCATAGTTTACCAATTTTGTTCTTAAAAATATTTATACATTACATTAGGATACAAATATTAAACAATATACATTTCTTTCTTAGCATATCATTTAACTCAATCACAAAAGAAATCTACTATCATCTCATGTTTACCACAGAATACATACTTAGGACAAAACATATTGCTTTAACTTGTGACTGTTGGGAATACAACTCTAGAAAAAATATACTGCTAGTGAGTACTAGAAGACTTTATTGATAAACTGCATGCTTTAAATGTTTAATACAAGCATCTAAATAATAAAATATAAATTACTCACCTAAAGATTAATACATATTTACAAAGCATTGTCTTGAGAAATGTGGTTTGATGATTCAATTTGAGCAAAAGATGGGTCTCAGGTATAGTATTCTCTTCACTGATGAGATAAAATCCATACCTTCTGTGAAGAGAAGGTAAGTCCCACATTTCTTGATGTTTCTGAATGTCCAGTATTCTTTAGATTTGTAGGAATTGACCATAAAGGAGCTGACTGCTATATCCACTATGTGAAGGCAGAGGATTCCAGCCCAGGGAGGGGCTCCCTGGACCCACTGGACTCAATGACCCTCAGACAGAGTGGAGGTGGGTGACTGCAGTTCAGGACACCTGAGTAGAGCGGAGGGAACAGTAGTGCTTTAAGACCCAGGCCCACTCCTGGGAGGAGGCTGGCAGGGCGTGGCTCTTGGCCTCCTGGTAGGTTTGGAAAAACTCCTTGTAATGGGATGAATCCCATGACCTCTTGCAGGGACGCCAGCATTTTTAGCATCTTCTCCTGCATTGCCTTGTGTTGCATGTTTGGATCTTTCTACATTACTTGACCCAAGCAAGTTAATTCCTTGAGGCATCAGCACCGAGTTGATGCTCTTTATCTTTTTGTAAGCATCTATAAGGCTGGATATATTTCAAGGCCCTTTCTCTATCCTGGTATTATACAGAGATGCCTCAATCCCAGCATACTTCTTTTTGGTAGCATTAAACTTGTCAATAAGTTGGCATTTCTCCTCAATCTGAGCAACCAGTGTTTCTGCAAGTTGCTTTTCAAATTTCACATAAAATTAACTCCTAAAAGATGGAACAAGTCTTCATAAGAGACCCTTTGAGAACACCTTAGGCAACACAGTGATACCTTGTCTACAAAAAAATAAAAAAAATTAGTCAGACATGGTAGCGTGTATCTGCAATTCCAACTACTTGGGAGGCTGAGGTGGAAGGATTGCTTGAATCCAGGAGGTCAAGGTTGCAGTGAGCCAGCTGGGATGATAGAGACCCCCCCCCAAAAAAAATCCCAAAACACAGAGACCTACCAGTAAGCCAGTGAGAGCTAGTGTCTGCCCCTGGAGGTTGTGGAAAGTGAGCTGTGGAGCTCAGGGCTAGCAGCTCCACCACCACCTCATCCAGCTTCCCAAGGGTCAGCCCAGGGCCCAGTTCCACATAGGACTGTGGCTTCTCCATGACACTGCAGCCTCCATGGGGCTCTGCTCAGTAACTGGATTTCACAGCCAAAAAACACATCAAGAACACCCCCAACACTCTGTCTGGAACCCAACCAGGAAAGGGCATCCTGAATTGGTAAGTTATACAGCTTGAAACTAGGGGGGATGAGATTTGCAAATACGATGTTTGTCTCCATTACTGTATAATCATTATTATTATTATTATTTTTGAGTTGGAGTTTCACTCTGTCACCCAGACTGGAGTGCAGTGGCCGCTCCTGACCACTGCAGCCTCGACCTGCTGGGTTCCGGCGATCCTTCCGCCTCAGCCTTCCAAGTAGCTGGAACTACAGGCGCGTCCTACCACGTCTGGCTAATTTTTGATTTATTGTAGAGATGAGGTCTCGCCAAGTTGCCCAGGCGGGTCTCGAACACGCAGGCTCAGGCAATCATTATTATTCTTGCCCTCTCCCTTATTGTCCTTAT